GGTTAATTAAGTTCAAAGATGGGTATATGTCATTATGTTAATCTGATTTTATATGATGTCATCAAACATTTCATTACATCATAATTTGATAATTATTTCATGCATTTGTAGAAATACAACAATATATACAACAATAATTATCGAAGCCCGCCCAACCAAAAATGACATCATAAGGTATCTTATGACGTCATTTCCGGTTGGGGTGGGCTTAGATAATTATTGTTGTATATCTTGATCCAACAGCTGGTCTTGATGCATGCCGTGATAAATGTAGTCTAATTTAATAACAATTGCGGTTTTGTACACAGACGCATGTGTCAAGAACAAATTCCATAATTTGTAAAGATCATTTAAATTGTTTGGAGACCCTGTACAGAAATAAAAGTTGTGGCCAGTGTTTTACCCAAAGAATGGCATTCAGAGTCCTTTCTGCCAGTGCAACTTTGATACAATGAAATATCAATACAAACACAGTAGTTTTCAGTGAAGACATATCATATAAAATCAAATATTAAATAGATTATATGGAGGGTTCATGTGTCTAAACCACATCTATGGTATTGCTTCCATTTGATGATCATAGGGATATCTCTGGAAAGGTATTTCCTATCCCCTTGATACTTTGTGTGTTTTTTAATATGAGCAGTAGAGATGCAAGCATATCTGAACAAGAGAGAAGGACTTTTTGCTTCTATTGAATCATGGAGTGTCCACAAGGGCCGTGTAGTCCAATCCTCCAATATAAGAATGCACAACTAAGGTACTGCTGAGAGGTAACCATCCAACTTCTGTTTGTTGCCACATGCTTTCAAGTAATTTCTGACATGGCAACCCTAAGGTGACCCTATAATGGGATTTTCTTGGCAAGTTTCTTCAGAGAGGCTTTGCCATTGCCATCCTCTGAGGCTGAGACAGTACAATTTGTTCAAGGTCACTCAGTGGGTTTATATGGCCAAGTTGGGATTCATAGAATCATAGAATCATAGAGTTGAAAGAGACCACAAGG